TCGCCGTTTCGGCTCGGTTTCGCGGAGGGAAGCTTGGTACTGCACTTCCCACCAAGGTTCCCCTCCCTTGTCCTCTCGCCGAGCTGGGACGACCTGTCGTGACGGTGGCGTGGCTGTGCGGGTCGGCTGGCTGGCCTTGGAGCTTGTGCCCTGCATAGCCAAGTCGCACCGCATACTTCTCCTGCTGCGCGGCGACGCGACGGGTGGCGGCCACGGCTCGCTCGTGACGCTCCTGCTCTAGGCGCTCGCACTGGCGAGCTTCCTCGGCAGCTCGAGCGCGGTCGCTCTTCCGCTGCTCCTCGTCCCGGCGCTCGTGTTGACGGGTCTCTTCGGTGGCCTGAGCGCGTTCCTGCCACTGACGTATTTCGGCTTGGCGTTCGCGCAAGGGTGCCTCTTCTGTGGCTTCAACGCGCCCTTGGCCTTGGTGCACTCCAACATCGTTGGTGTGGGTCGGTGATCGCTGGTCCGCAACGTCGGCCGAGGCCGAAGCTTGTGCGGCCGCTCGTTTCGCGCGGACAATGTCAGCCCTGTCCTTCGACGTCAGGAGCCACTGGAGCTGTTCCGGGTTACTGGTACTGGTCACGAAATTTGGGCGTGCATTGTGCCCCGGTTGAGAGCTTCGCCTAACTTCTGCTCTCGCTCGATGGCCGTGGCAAGCTTTGCTCGACGGGCCTGGCAACGCTGACCTTTCGACAGGCCCAGGTTGTGCGTGGCCGGGAAACGGAGCAGTGGCCAGCGTGGTTCTGGCCAAGGGAAGGCTCCCTTGTCCACGCCTTCCTCCCAATCTTCATCGCTCCAATGACTGGGGATCTCGGCGACAGGCGGAAACGAGAACTCGTTCGCCATGGCTCTGCCGCGTGTTTCGTCTTTGCCGCCGAAGTCGGCGCACAACACCAATACGTCTTCGTCGCCCTGCTCCTGGTTCGGCGTAGGTGGTTGTTCGGCGGTGACCTCGTTGACGGCCTCGGAGACAACCTCGTTGGCGGCCTCGTCAACGATCTCGTTGATGGCTTCTGTGGGCGGGGCTTGTTCCTCAGCTGGGATAGGCGGGAGCAAGCGATTATCCTCGTCGTCGCTATTCGAGTGTGGGGATCACGCGGCAAGCGGGCTACAGCCCTGGCATTGCCGTTCACATTGCGAGCATCAGTTCTTCTATATGGATGGCGGCTTGGCCTTCTGCGTCCATTTCTTCTGCGACTACCACCTATAATAATCAAAACATTAGCACATTAGGACAAAGTAAGGATTGATAAAAAATAAATTAAAATAATGCACTACCTCTGGCTTGATTATTTCTCACGTCTCCAGCTGGTACATTAGGCCATCTCGGTCGCTGCTTCTCTGGGATGTTTGGATCCAATAAAGTTATAATCCGGATCGTTGACTTGATTAAAGCCAAGACGCCTCGCGTCGAAACGTCTTTCCAAATCGATAACTTCAACGATATCAATGGGGCGAATATTGTTCAAATTAAATCGATAGTATTCTCGAATCAAATTTGAGCAAATCGTCAATAATTCCAATCCCGAGATCTCGTTCAGATAGAGTTGCCTCCAAACTGTATAGTGAAAATGTATCATAAATATGAGGCTCATAAATATTATTATTAAAAAATGAAATAAAGTAACGTTACCTGCATGTAATGTACTTTCTCTGAAGTAGCTCGCGCTTGATGCTTGTCTAGCTACTGTGCGTCCCCTTTCGATAGTTTCAAAGTCGACGTATTGCCTTTTCATAATCGTTTTAATCCTGCATAGCCATTTCCAGAAAGGTGGATTTTCGCCAAGATTACGTAATAATACGCTGTTATAGCTCTCGATTGAATTGCTTGTCCGCGTTGCAGCCCCCCAAACGCAGAAATTTCTTGGACTGACTTGGGTAAACCAAAAATTTCTAATATACTCAATAAAATCATGAAATTGACGAACAACTCTGGCTGGCGTCGTATCGATCATTTGGTCGAAAATTGCGACCATTAAATCGGCTGGGACCAAGGCCAATGCGCCGCATTGGCGAACAAATCTGTTGGCTTCAGCATCATTTTTCACATAATCGGACAATCCCAAGCGGTGAATCTTTCCATTTAGGCAGCGCAAAAAGTGAAAAAAGCACCCTATAAAATACACTCTTTCACCGAAAGTCTCTCGAAGGGCTGTTTTCAATGGCATCTCAAAATCCGTAACTACAGTAAGTATGTTGGCTCCTTGCATTAACTCCAGTATTATCTCGCACATTTTTCGATAAGCATTAGTTGTTTTTCTGCTCATTAAAAACCATATTATAGGTAGCGCGTGGGCGTGATAAATGCACATAACTGTACCAAGTTGTAAATTGGCATCAGGAACAATTGGGCATGTTTTATAGGTAAAATCTATCATGAGGGTTTGTGTATTATTTCTAATCCTCGCGACAATATCACCGTCGTAAAAAAGAAAATGCGTATCGCCAGTTACATTTCTGAAGACTCTTTTAGTTATTGTTCCGAATTGGGGACTTGGGGGAAATGAAGTTCTTCTCCATCTAAGGATACCTCGCAGAACGGCACGAGCGCAGCAGCTTCACGGTACACAGCAGCGAGTGCGTCATAAATGCGTCTCGGCTCTCCGTAGTCGCGAGTGGCGGCTTGCCTTAATTCCTCTTTAAAGCGAGTGATGTGTGCTGCCTCGGGGCTGCGCACGCATCCTGGCCCATGCGGCAATTCTTCAATTAGTTCGTCTATATGTGACGGTCGACTCCCCGTGTCCACCGTGCACAAGGCGTTCCTCGTTGCCTGGCCGACTTTGTCGGTATCCGACGCGCCAGACAAGCCACAGCTTGTCGTCGGCCAGGGTCCGGCTAGCTCGATAAAGGGGCGGGGAAGGCGTGAAATACTACCTCTGGGTCGTGAGTACGACTCTCCTCCTGGAGGGGACGTCGACGGGTATGGAGCGGGGTCTCCGGTGACTGCAACACTGCACCTATAAAAACACCTGTAAACGAGAAAGTCCGCGAGAGAGAGAGGAAAGGAAAACGACGGGTCTTGTAAATAACAAAACAGTGAATTTTAATTAAAACAAATGCTCTTTTATTTAAGCTACTCTGAATACTCATTCACACAGGGCCGAAGCTCTCACACTCACAATCACACCTGGTCGCGGACGCGAGCTGCGTTGCCGTTTGGAGGGTCGGCGCGAGCGCGGTAATACCAGTAAACTACTCACGGTACTCCTTGCCCTCGAGGCTCGCGACCACACGGGTGGACTCCGCGTCGCCGGGGTCTTAGAAGTTCCTGCTGCTCTCTCCGTAGTCGCCTGTTGGCCACAGACGCGAGAAGGGACGGGCCGGATGGGTTGAAACTCGTTACGCTCGATGACGACTCTTGGTGCGCCGCACGGATCGCCAGCACTCACACTCGATTCGTGGCCACCAACTTCACAATCTCACCGATTCACGCCTTCAACTCACTCACACCCAACAGCACACTTCACTACTCACACACTCTACTCTCAACTCTACAACACTCCGACCAAACTACTCAACAATGCTCGCGTACGTAGAGCTCTGCTCTGCTCAGCGGTCCAACTACTGATCTTCACTCTCTGACTGCTCCAACTCAACTCTCGCGTCGTCTGCCCACGTGCATGCTCCGAGTTCGCAACTTGTAATCGGGCACGGGCCGCTCGCGCGCAGTCACGTGGTACTGCACTCGCGAGAGGCCACAGTGGGACCGACTACAGTGGTCGCGACTCATGCACGCATTCACCCGAAAACCTCACATCGGACGCGTTTATAACGAGTCGCTTGCGTGCTCCGACGTTCGCCTATAGCGCAACGTCACATATATTATTGCGATAAACGCGCGCTGTAGCTCTACAGCCTGATCTGATATTTCTGCATCGCAAGTAGCTGAAAATAAAAATGCAATTGGGGAATTTGTCCAAGAAAAGAAAGAGCAGCGCGAGTTTATAGAATTCAAGGAGGCAGCGTAACATTTTACAGCAACAATTGAACAGCGCGAGACTTACTCTTATCGCGTTTATATGTATGTCGTCACATGGGTATATGACTCCAACTAGGGTAGCGAAGACACCCTGGGTAGCTGCTGAGAAGGGGTTCACGGATGTAAGTGAAAGAGAGAGAGATAGGTTAAGAGAAGCTATTTATTCGTTTGGCTCGGAGACCAGAGTGACTGCGTGCTGCTCGAGGGGCAGGCCAAGACTGTCGCTGTGTCTACATGCGGCGACTGCCTGCCCAGTCGGGCCGGACAGTAGCTCTCCCGCATCGCAGCGGCCAAGCGCCGACTTACAACTCTGTGTAACGCCACACTACTCTCCCCTCAAAAAATTGTATTTTAATTCTCTGCGTGGGGTTTAAATTGTAAAGTTCAATTATTTTTGCAGGTAACTGTGGAAACTAATTTATAAATTTTACATGTTATTTTTACAGCCACTTCATTTGGCAAAAAGGAACTCGATAAACCGACTCTTGGCTCAAATCCAAACGTGGTTTTATAAGGAGATTGGTTTATCCCTGAATGATACGCCCTGTTCTTCATGAACTGCACAAAAGGCAGCGTGTCAATCCATATGTTTGTGCTATTATCAGCTAACCACGTGGCAATCATATTTTCTATGTCTTGGTTAGCCCTCTCTACTGAACCCTGAGATTGGCTATGGCGAGGTTTCCCATGAACTAAAAGAAGTTCTGGCCACAAACTTTTTAATTCAGTTATCACAGAATTGACAAATTCGCGTCCGTTGTCAGAATGAATCATGCACGGGGCCCCAAAAAGTAGAAAGATGCGAACAAGATAATGTGCTACCTAAAATATATAAATTATTAAGTATTAGTTGTAGTAGTAGTAGTAGTAGTAGCAGTAGTAGTAGTAGAAATAGAATTACCTCTTCAGCGCGTTTAGACTTTAAGGCATTCAAGACAACGAATTTTGTTAAATGGTCTTGGTAAACCATGATCCATTTAAAACCATCGATGCTCTGTGACTGAAAATCTATCAGATCGACTTAGCACCTGGTGTTCATCTCTTCGAGCAATATGGGTTTTGAAACCAATCCCCGTCTTCTTTTAATCTTTTTTTGCTGGCAACTTTGGCACATACTTAAGAATAAATTGACCAATTCCCGCGTAACATTAGCATACTTCATTGATGTTTCTTTTAATAGTCGGTCTCGCGCACCATGGCCAGTCGATACATGAGCTTTTTGAAGGAGGTCATACATGTCCTCCAATGGTACGTAATATTTCAACGCTGCGTCATCTTTGCACTTTGCTATCAATTTATTGGTATCGTTTATTTCTATTACGTCGAATCTTCTGAGACGTCTAAATTGCTGTGCACTTTTTTTCTCCGACGACAATTTTGCCCGTAGTACATCTTGTACTATTTCGTCGTATTTACTTTTTACAATCACTTTGTAGTGATCGCCCTTACTTGCTTCTTTAAAGAACACTTCTTTCCAGTTTTCAGAAACCGATTCCATATTTACACTACTTTCCGACATCGTTGCTAATTATAACGGTTATATAAGATTATATAATATTAAGCTGAAGTTAGAAAGAGTGTACTTGTTGTGCCGAGTGTACGAAGTGACTGAAAACAAATCCAGTACACGACAGAGTTCTATAAAGTAATATTAGTCTATAGTTAGCATGATTTGTTTACAAATTAAAGTTTTCATAGATTATTCAAAAATGCCTAAAATGTTTCAGGCAATACTGCTTTTGCCTAGGCAGTTCGCGAAATGCCTAAAAAATTTAGGAAGTTTGTACAATTTAGAAGGCATTTCAGGGTTTGCCTAAAATCATAGGCATTTCTCAAAATGCCTAGGCAGTTCGCGAAATGCCTAAAATCGGGTTTTGCCGGTAACATATACACTTGCAGTATTAATTACATTTTCAGTATCTTATAACGTATCAAATTAAACACTCAATTTGAAAGAATTATAATTTCCCATAAAGGCTTACAGTACAACAAACTTATGTGATTAATTATCACTCTTGCTTAAGGTAAATTGACTCTTTTGGCCACAACGGCTCAATATTTAATTATGAGTATTTTAAATGAAAGAAATTATTTTTTCTTTTTCACAGTTGATACTTATACATCAGTTATAAGATATAATAGTGATTATAATATCGCATGCCATTTGTTTGGCAACTTAGCTTACTTATTAAATAATTTAGAGTTACAAAGCGGTAATCTTATAAATTATATTTGTAACTATTTGATAATAGAAAAGTTCAGCGCTATCGCAAAATGACTGTTTGGTTTAACATTAAATTATTAACATTGTTTTTTTTTGGTTTGCTGACAATAATTATTATTGTATACATTATTTTAAGTCAAAATTTTTAACTCAGTTCGAGCAATTTAACAAAAATTTTAGTATGACGCATTCTGGCCAGACTTAAAGTAAATAGAAATCAAAGGAACAAAAAGGATAACTATTTTACTACTTAATTACTAGGTGGTACACTGGGCAAGTGCATGTGGAAGCCTTGCCACCAATTTCTCGCCACGATTTCTTTGTTCTTTCTCGCATTGTATAGCCACATCGGGACTTTCTCTAAATAATAATCTTTAACAATCACATAAACTTCCACCGAAACCGCAGGCATGACCTTTTCTATGCCGGGGCATAGATTATGTCTGTCTGTAACAACAATGAGCTTTTTCAGAGATGAGAGCGGCAAACGTTCAACAATTTCAGCGATATCAAGCGACCAACTAATTGTTAATCTCTTGAGTTTTTTTAGATGTTTGAATGAAACTAAAGCGTTAATTTTAACGTTGGTTAAAATCAGCTCTCTCACATTAGGTATGCAATTAATCAGTATGTGCAGATTGTTGTTAAAGAACAGCGCGTTGGTTAGGTCAAGGTACATAATATCCGGACAGAAGCTAAATGATAACATAAGGTCCGGATGAGATTCCAAGTAGAATTGCGGCTTCACAAACGTAAAAGTAATTCAACGCAAGGAGTTCAAGCCTGAAAAAAGACTGGCGACAAGTCTTAGCATACTTAATTCGAGATCAATCGCCATACACTCATGTATTGTTATAATCTCACAGTACTAATTGAGTGCGATCGCTGCGGCAAAGAAATGAAAGTTAAGCTGGTAACATTCGCATAATTTTACAACTTGGGCCCTACAATATTCGAAAAAAGTACCTCGAAGAAAATGATTTTGTTTGATCTCAAGTTTTCGAGTGTCAATTTTTGCCACGCTGCGGTCACGCACTGCAATAAAATCTCCTAAGGAGCAAAAATTCAACTTAAAATTAGAACTTATTAAATCCATAACCTGTCTATCAATTTGACACGCTGTCAGATCAATAGTTCCTACTTTATTCGCGTCCGCTCGACTGCATCAAACGTTTCTCCCAGCCATAGCCGAAAGTGTGCAACTAACTAAGCTATTATCGAATATGTAATTTAAAATTGTAAATGCAATAATTGGGACAATTCAATAACGTATAATGTACGGTCGTTAAAAAAAAGAATATTATCGGCAATATGATGAGATTGTACACGGGGAAGGCTTGACACTATGGAATATAGCGTATTTGAAAATTACATCACGAGAGGTCGCGCTGCTTGGTAAATGGTAAAGTGTGCACGACGTTTTGTAACGCACGAGTGCTTAACGTTTTATCGTGTATAGGTATTGAAGTAACGTAACGCGTACACTACATTTTGTTTCGCGCTCAAAAAGTGTGCGTCGATATTTGTGGTGTAAACTGTGACTCACAACAGCACTTACGCGCTCGTGAATATCCAAGTGTGAACTTAAATATATTAAAAATATGGATTCGAAAGTTAATGAACTATTGCAAAGTTGGAAATTGGATCAATTGTGCTACACTTTTTTTCGTAAGTATATTCATAATATATTAAATTAGGCTGAAATTAAGGTTAAAATCCGCAAAATTATTAATACTAACAAATTCAAAACCCATTAAAATTTTTCTAAATTTTTGTTATATGTTAGTAGACTAGTGTGTAGGAAAACTATTTTTTATTTCTTTCAATTATTTATAACCGTTAAATTGAAATTGTATTGCATTGAGTATTAGCTGAGATATCTTTAGATGAAGTTGAATTCAGTATTTTAGCATCTTTACTGAAACATATTATAAAGATTTAGTTTAATACATGCATTAATAAATTTATTCATGTCAATTGGTATTAACATGTACAACAAAACTTAAATATATCAATATAATGTAAAACCTAATGTTGAAAGCAGATTCATATAAAATAGACTATGCGAAGACTTACTTTTAAAATTAAATGTAGAGTTAAGCACTATTCAGGGCTCAGTACCCCATTAAAAAGTTATACTTTATCCTGTTAGATATTTGCAAGCACTTCAATTCACTATTATATAAGTCTAACAACTTATACCAAATCTATAAACTTTCAGCGATAAGCATTTGGTGTCTCTAAGCTGCTTACAATAGCTCTTTACGATAGCTAGTTTCTAAGTGTTCGTATGACACAATTGCATTGTATGTCGTTTGATTATTTTTGATGGATCATTGGCCATTAACGCAGCCTCATGCTAAGTATAAGAGAAAGTAGTCAAAGTTGATCTGAAATCTGGTGAAAGTAGTGAAAAGTTATCCATCAAACATAATCAAACCACATGCCATTCAATTGTGTCATGCGAACACTTAGAAACCTATTGCAGGCAGCTTAGAGACAATAAATGCTTATCGCTGAAAGTTTATAGACTTAGTATAAGTTTACAGACTTATATAATAATAAATTGAAGTGCTTGCAAATATCTAACAGGACAAAGTATAACTTTTTAATGGGGTACTGAATAAGGCTCTTTACAAAATATCTCAACAAAAGTATATTTTTGCATAGAAAATTTTATCTCATACTTTCATATTTTTACACTGTCTGACATAAATTGACTTTTAGCAGTAGTTTTATCATGCATTGACAAAATATTGTCTTATGGTACAACATTATAAAGAGTCAAAACTTAATTAAACTTGATTTAAAGATTTTTTGATGATATTTGATGCAAAGCTGTGGATGACAAAATATTGGTATTTCATGAAAAATTGAAAAATAGGGTGTGCTCAGGAGAAAAGAATACAGTTCATATAGTTGCCGTTCTTTTCTAATCTCTGTACTAGAGCTCATACTTTTGTATCACTATGTACATTGTCTTTATTTATAATATCGTTTATGCATTATTTATCTTCAATGCATTCAATTTTTTCATTTCATAATATCGTTATTCATCACATTCTTTTCACAATCTAAAATAAATTCGACATAATCATGAATTTTATCTAATTTTGAATTTTACATATTCATAGAACATGGAGTCAATTATGAAAAATTTTGTTCTTTGCAAGAAGATGATATTGAAAAAATTATTTTGGACAAAAATGTTCGAATGAATTTTCAAAACTTTTTCAAATATTACAAATTAAGTATTTCTTCGGAAAATGAAAATACCATCTCCAATGTTACCGCATCTGTCCTTCAACTTGAAGATCTTGATTCAACTTCTCAACAAGGTCCTATTCGTACTTGTCAAGAACGTTTAAAGGAATTTAAAAATTATTCTCACCTTTTTAGTGACAGTAAATACTTCATTTTTTTCAATTTTTTGGTATTGAACTTCAATTTAAAATTACTATTTTTTACATAGTGGATAAGAACCGAAGATTATATAAACTCTTGGATGCTTCTGATGATAGTTGTTGGGGTCGCGTAATTTTATATAAGTGGGCATACTACGAAGATATTAAAGACTTCAGAAAAACTCTTAGTCATATAATCGTTGATAAGGAATTTCTTTTGAACATTGATGCAGTAGAACCCTTTGAGTAAGAAGTAAAAATGATAACATAATTTTGTATTTCAAATAATTCGGCAACCAAAAATTTTATTTATTAATAATATTTTTCAGAATAAGTGACAAGAGATTCGAACAATTAAGGGCGGAAATTATCGAGTTATTCCCGTCGGAACCTAAATCAGCTTACTACGAACGAGAGTGCGTTGTAAGCAAAAATAAAAAAAAATCAAAAAAAGCGTCAGATCGAATGAACACGACTGGTTATTTATACAGAGCCTACTTAAACAAGCGTCAAATCTTTGGTAAAAAAGCACAGATACTGGAATTAAAAGATTCAGAAGAAAAAAATCAATCCGAGCCCAAAGGTATTTTATAATATTTTTACAACTTTCAGTTACTTTAAATGTTTTTTCAAACTCATTTCAAAAAAATTATTACATTTTTTGTATGTTTGACTTTTACAGAAGGCATAGTTACCGAAGTAACAGATACCAAAGTAACAGTTACCACCTCCGACATTGACTGTTTATTCAAAGTTATTGAGCCAGATGACGATTTGAGTATCATTAAAAGTACGTGGTCCTCACATTACGACTTGCGTAAACAACGATACTCTGATCTTGGTTTTGAGTTAATCGATACTTTCAAAGTTCTTCAACACAACATTTGCATC